CCAAACAAATGTGGACATCTTTTCGAAAATCGTAGAACAAACTAAGTATGTGAACCAAGGTACCACTGTATCTGTAGTTAGTTAGTGTGTAAGGGGATGGTAACAGCTGCAAAGGTCCTGCAGAAAATAAAATTTAAACACTTGATTTAACCCAGTATTTCCTACACTTACTTAACAAAACAACCATTTTATGTACATCCTCCCTGTCCTTCCTTCTATCAGAGACTCACAAGTAATACCCATTGTTATGGTTTATGTCTGTGTGTCCCCCCAAAGCCTCATGCGGCCATGGGGCATGCTTTTAGAGTTTGAATATGGGTGTGAGAGCTGCACCCACCCTGGAGTGGATAGTTTGCATATGTAAGGGAGAGGAAAAGAGTGCTTGAGGCATTCCTCCCCATTCTGCCCTGGTGTGTGCTTGTTGTTTTGCTGTGTTCTGCCGCCATGAGCTGTAGCTCTCTGCCATGTGCCACTCTGCCTTATAATCTGCCAAGTACATACTGAAACCTCCACGAACTGTAAGCGAAATAAACTTTTCCTTCCTTAATTTTGGGCGTCAGGTATTTTGTCCCAGCAATGACAGAAAAGTAACCAAAACACCCATATTCATCTCTTTCCGTACAAATAGAATTTATACGTTGGAATAGAATTGATTACAGCCTGGCCAATAAAATGAAGATAGAATGGTTGTGTGGCAATTTTGGCACATGCTTTTGACTTCTTCTTTGTCCTTCCTCAATCTGTCTGAAATTTAAATACAATTGTTAGAATTCTGCCTACCAGAGAAAAGCCACACTCAAGGGATGTTGGGAAATAGATTGGAAGCAACCTGTTCCCTTGGAGTATTGAGAGCCTTGGCATAACTAAAATTTCTGGTTCTGAAAGAAAACTGATAAGCTCTTTTACTTTTTGTGAAGAAGAGTCTTCAGGAAAATCATCATCTACTAGCTTGTTCTCCTCAAAATATGACATGTCCAAAATAGCCTGCGTGTAAAGTTCTAGAAGACTGGATGCATTTGAACCTTCTTTTTCTTCTCCACACAAGAGTTTCAATTTTTCTAGAGCTGCAGAGGCCCAAATTAAAAAATGATCGTCTTCACCCGCAGCCTCGCTCAACTGCTGTATGTGAGCCTGAGCCAGGTCACCGAGCTCTTCTTTTGTAGTCTCCTCTAATCCCCCTAGATAGCACAACACAATTTCTCCAACGTGCTGACTGATGTGTGCTCTGATACAGTCTGCTAAATAAAATTTGTTTCTTATGCACACATAACAAATCAGAGTCCATTCTGATCAAGCTATAGTGGATACTATATAGAAAAGGAACCTAAGCTTCAGTTTTTGTTGAGTGGAAAACAAATCATTACTGATTGGTGTTAGTCGCCATAGATATAAGGAGGAAATAAGTAATTTTCTCATACTTGCCACCTCTGAATTAGGCACACATCTATTTCATTTTCCAATATTACTTTTAAAGAGTAGGAATAAGTTTTTTTTACTATTTTCATTGCTCAACCAGATTATAATGTAGAATGCAATTTGTATGATTTTTAAAGATAAAGAGACCTCCAAATTAATTTTACCCCAGATTAGTTTTGTACATATTCATTCGCTCATGTGTACTGCAGTGGGAAAGCTTTCCTACGAGAATAGATGAGTCATCATCACAGTGATATACTTTCCTTAAAAATTCAGTTGGTTGTTACCTTTGGATCCAATCAGGATGTTTAAAAACGAAAATATGTATATTTCCTCTGACCCAGGTTCTGGCAAATGACTAATAGAACATACTGGGAGCTTGATGAATATGACACCTGTGGCCAGTTCGGATCCTCCCTCCAAATCCTACAATTAAAGTTTCTGAACAAGATCAAAGTAATTAATATAGATCCATGCTCCTATTTAAGGCTAATTCTTCTCCATTACTGCAGACCTCAGTCTCTTCTTTCTCCTGAGCAGCCTCTCTGTAGCAAATCTCCCTTTCCACAATCTTTATCTTTTCTCTACTACATTTTTCTTCCAGCAACATATCAAAATTTCTTCTATCCTGAAGCCCCAGGCTCTGTTTCCTGTATATATCCTGTGACCTATAGTAGTTATATACTCTCTTTGCTCAACTTCACAGCCAAGAGTCTGCAAAAACCAGAAGAAATTACTTATGTCCCCCTTTTTTCTTTCTAGTACAATCCACAGAACCTGTGGTACTAAAGACAAAAGCCACCTTTTAATTTCTAAACTCAGATCCTCTTCACAAACACAGAGTCAGAGCCAAACAGCCTGTGTATAAATCCTCATTCTGCCTCTTAGTATTCTATGATCATGCTCAGATTAATCTTTCTAAACCTCAATTTACGTATAAGTTACATATAAATTCTTATAACAATGCCTGGAACACAATTATACACCAGTGGTGATGAAGCTATGGTCCATGTGCCGCATTAGGCACACACAGCCTCTGTCGGCACTCAAGCCAAGTCAACCCAGCCACGATTTGACAAATTATCATCACACATACAACAGCGAAGATCACATTGGTTGGCGTGATGGTGCACACCTGTAATCCCAGCACTTGGGAGGCTGAGGCAGTAGGATCACCATGAGTTTGAGGCCAGCCTGGGCTACATAGTGAGACCCTGTCTTAAAAATAAGATCACATTAAGTGTGCAAAAGTATGCCAAATGCAAACTTTTATCTTTCAATAAAAAGTTGTTTGTATCATTGAAAGCTGTTATTATATTTTTCTTTTAAGACAAAAGATGTGAATGTATTAGTTGTTTTTTCTCTTAAACTAAAACCTCAGTACATGGGTTTAATTGCAGTGTTGGCATTTTGTGATAAATAAGTGGGTTTTAGGTTGTAGTTTGAACACCCAGTCTCTAAAAAGTTCGCCATCACTGGAAACATTATCTAATAGTCTTTTGTGCTTAACTAATCTGATTTCTTCCTAATATTTGATTCTGCTAACAATTTCTTCATTGAAATGCTCCTTCCTCGATTGCTGTATTCTATTTTTGTTTATTTTCCTCATAATGTGTTGGCTGTACCTTCTTTTTATCCTTGTTATCATGCTTAAAACTAAAAACAAAGTTTTAAAATATTTGAATTTCAGGGACAACTGAACTAGTTTCACTCTTTTTTTTTTTTTTTGGTACCAGGAATTGAACTCAGGACCTTGTGCTTGCCAGGCAGGTGCTGTGCCACTGAGCTATATCTCGGGCCCTTTCAAACTAGTTTCATGCTTAAAATCCCAGAAATGGCTTCCCATTTCCTACAAGAAAAAGCCTACCAACTGAAATTACATCCAAGTATTTGCAGCTTCTTTCCTGTCTTCCACTCAGTCTCACTTTCAGTCAAGTCATTGCTTCTATTCCTTTACTTTATGCCTTCTCTTGTAGTCTTCCTCACTTTTTCTCAAAGTCTTAACTCTCAAAGTACCCCATCTCTGGGATCCCAGACTACCTCAGGCACATTCTGCCTACCCCATACTACTTCTGATGCCTCTGCTGTCTATGCTAGACTGTGAGGAATGGGGCTGAGTCTTACTTGCTTTTAAATTCCTAACATCTAGCATAGTAGGTGAACTAGAGGTGCTCAATAAATGTCAAGTGAACACATATAATTAGTACTTTGGGCCAATGCCTTTTGAAACAAAAGTGTGAAGAGCTGAACACTAATCTAGACCTTCTCAGAAGTAAAGCAGGATCAGAATCCTGTTTGCTTAATTTTTTTTCCAATACTTTTCCACAACATGTTCCACTACTGAGGCAGCCATGAGTACAGCACCTGCAAGTATCACTCTGGCACCACACAGTCCACAATTCAATATCACCAGTTCCCAAACGTGTACTTGGCAAGTCAAATTTGTGTACCAGTTTCTTCCCAAAACAGCAACACACAGCTACTGTCATCTGTGTTATGGGTGAATGAGACAATTCATGCAAAGTGATTAGAAGTGTTTCACACATACCATACACGGAGTTAACTAAAAGTTGTTATTTAAATATCAAGATGACCCGGAGTGGAATATTTTCTCCTCACTTAGGAGTTTTCGTATTAAACAAACATGAAAATAATTAAGCTGCAGCCCCTCTGCAGAATTCTAAAGGAGGAACATGGTAACTTTTGAACACATAGCTGTCCTACGCGGTCCCTAACACCAAAACATGGCTCACAATCCAAGCCCTGGGACACACTGCAGTCTTCTATATTTGATGCAGGATAAATTTCCTTTTGATGTCTGGAGGATTTTTTTCTTTTTTTGAAACAGGGACTCGCTATTCAGTCCAGACTGGCCTTGAACTATGTAGCCCTGCCTGGCCTCAAATTCATGGCGAGCCGGTGGTCTCAACCTCCCAAAAGTGCTGGGATTACAGGTGCGGGCACCATGTCCGGAGATATCTGGGGGCTTTAAAAACTCCCCCCCCCATTAATTAAGCAGAAAAAATATATACTATTCACTCTAGAAAATCTCAGCTCCACTCTACCACACACCAGTGATTACTTTCGGCTGACTGCAGCCTTGAAACACAATCAGGAAGACGGGGCGCTCCCAAACCCTCCTTTTCCCGTGCTGTTTCCTCCGCCACACGAAGACACCCCTACTCCTCTTTCAAAGCACTCCATGCAGCTCACGGGCGAGCGCTTCCGCAGAGCCTGCGAGTCCTCCCTCTCTTCCACACAGCCTGGGGTGTTTTTCTCGGGGTCCTGAGCATCTATGTCATGCTACTTCTCCATTGAGCGTGAGGAAAGAGCACACATGTTGGAGACTGCAATACAACCTGCGGAGCCAGCGGCAATAATTAGTCCGACACAGACAAGGCCAGAGGGCTTCTCCACCCGGCCTGCACCATAAGGATGTAACGACGACCCCTCAGAAAGGGTAGAAGGTCCCGGGCGCATGCGCCCCCAGGTCCCGCCCCGCTCCCAGAGCTTCGGCCCGCATTGGCCCGGAGGCTGGGGGCGTAGCTCTTCGTCTACCGTGTGGCGGTCACGTGGCCCGCGGGGGTGGAGCTGTGCGGCCGCTTCCCAGCTGGACTGAAGGGGTTTGCGTATCCTCCCTCGTCGGCCCTGAGAGCGCGAGGCCTGCCCTTCGCCGAACAGCGTTAGGGAGTTGCTCGGAGTTCTCGTCGGTCTCCCAGACTCGCTTTCCTTCCCCTCTAGAAGCTGAGCCTTCTGGCCCCTTGCTGCGCAGTGTACGGCCGCCTGGAAGCCCGGATCCGAGTGTCCGCCAGTAGCCGGAAGTGCCGCCCGCAGGCCGAGGGGCGGCTCCGGGGCTGCCGGGTGAGCACCACGGGCCGGGTCGGGGGTGGGGTGGCGGTGGGGGAGGGGAGGAGGGAAGGGGAGCGGCCGGCCCCTCCACGCCGTAGACGCAGGACAGTACAGTAGTCACTGAAAAGTTAAAGACCCTTTTAGCAGGGTAGTTTCTGGAGATCATAATAAACACTTGTCTTAAGCCAGACATAGCTTTTATATACATGGGGGGAAACCAAGGATGTTGAATAAATCCCTCCCCAGTCGTCAGTGCGAAGATTAGCTATTTTGCAGTAGAATCTGTCCGCAGAATTTGGTTTGTTTAATCATTTCATACCCATTTCTTTTTGGAGGCCTGGAATATATATAACTTTGTATTGTAAATACATAACCCTTGCACCTCAAGCTTTGTAGTATTGGAAGAATGAATCTTTGGCCTTAGAAATTAGGATAATACGAACAAAATTAGCAGAAGAAAAATTCAAATAACTAAGAAAAACAAGGCCTAGGGCTTTGTTAGGCAGTTGCAGTTTGTCATTATCCGGAAGGATTTTTGATATTTTGTGTAGAGCAGGTCAGGAAGGAACTTTTTGACAGTTCTGGCAAGAGAAAAGATGTAAACAATAGAAAGAGGTAAGATGTGGTTGAAGGATGCTGACAAGACTGGAATTATTAGGACCAATATTTAAATGGCAAACTCTAGAAAAATTGTAAATTTCACAAAGTCATCTGCATTGTTGATTTTTTTTTTTTTTTTCCTCTAGTAGAGGGAAGAATTAAGTGTTGTGAATATTTCTGGACTAGAGACCTTTTGGAGCAAAAAAATAAATCAGTCAAGTCTTTTATGTTATGGTAAGTAACACACTGGGCTCTGTGTTTCTATAAAAATGTGGATTTGGAAAGAGCGGGACAGCAAGGAGTGGGAGCGGATACAGAGCAAAAAGTAACAGCCTTTTCTTAGCCACTAAGATGGCAGATTACTGGGCTGTGTTCTACCAATTTAAGTCTATGTTGTATTCCGTTCCAGCATGCGTGCTTATTCATGATAGGCTTGCAATAATTGCTCCTTGGTTGATTTCCTACACAAAGAAGACAGTATGCCCACGGCTTATGCAGGCTCTATAGTCAGAAGATAGATATTAAAGTCTGGCTCTCATACCTAACTAACTGAATTCTTCAGTGATTAACTAACTGCTACAAACAGCAGATTTTCTGTCTCTTAAATGCAAATACTTAGTATTAACTTGGTATATTTTGCAGGGCTATTGGAAGGGTTAAATGAGAGAATTCTATAATCAATGAAATATAAACAGGGTAATCCCTAATTTAGGGCCTGTACAGTGAGCATAATATACTACAAACTTAGGTAAAGGTAAGTGCTGTGGAGAGAAATAAAGTGACATAAGGTGAGCTATCTTAGAGAAGGTAGAGTGGCCTTTTTGAGGAAGTAATTTTGAGACAAACTTGAATCAAATAAAGGAGCAAAGTGTAGGGAAGAGAGGTGTTCTAGGCAGAAGGAGCAAGTGTGAAGGCTCTGAGGTGGCCTTTGAGACTGAAGATAGGCAAAGCTACCGTGTTATGCAGGGCAGTAAAAACTTTGGATTTTATTCCTGAATTTGATAGGAAACTGTTTTAAACTCCGGAAGTGTTGTTGTCTACTTCGAGGTTTGACAACCAGATTATATTGTATTTTCTAAGTGCCAACATCTAAGGGGTTTAGACATGGATATAGGAAGATGATTTTCTCAATTAAAAAAAATTCCTTTTTGGTGCACCATACTTTTCTTGGTTGTTTAGGGAAAATATGATAACTTGAACTGATCGCTTTAGGCGATAGCCTGATTAATTTGCCAAGCCATGAGCTAATTCAGAATGCTTTATTAACTCTGTAGTCTCCTCTTGAGGTTAGCAGTAATACCCATTTTAAGAGACTAAATTCCCATAATCCCACCATCTCAAACTACTGCTTTGTCTGTGTGCCCACATGTTTTGTCTTGTGATTTAGAGACAGGACCTGTGAGCACATCTCTTTAAAAGAGATTTTGTCTCTTTTAAACTTCTCCATAATTTTTCATATCATTAACTGGTTAAATTATTTAATCATTTTAAATACTTTATGAACAGGCTTGACACAGAGTCAGGTATAGAGGATGAGTTCAGTAAATGTTAATAGTTTTGTACATGTGAAGGTGGAAGAAAAATAGAACCTGTCATTTATTGAGGTTCTACTGAGACCCAGGTATTAAACTTAGTCCTTTATCCTTAGTGCCCTAGTTCTCACAGCAAGTCATATGTTTTACCTATGTCATCAAAGGAGAGATTAAAATTGAAGGAATGTAAGTGACTTAGACAAGTTCGCATAGCTACAAAGGAGCATAGTGGAAGTTTGAACTAAAAATCTGGTTCCAGAGCTTAAATTAAGCTTCAATTTTATCTACCAGACTATAACAATCTTCAGCCACTACGTTTTTGAAAAACCAAGATAAAATAACTTTAATTTTGAAATAATTTCAGATTTTAAAAAATTGCAAGAGTACAAAAATGTCTATATACCCTTCACCTATATTCTCTACATGCTAATATTGTACTGTTTTTTCTGTGTACACATGGCCAAGTATTTTTTAACCATTTGAAAGCAAGGTGTAGGCATAACACCTTTTCTTAAACTATGAGAAAATTTAGTCCTAAAGTGTATAATGAATTACATAACTTCTATGCTCTTTTTTTTTTTCTTTTTTTTTTCCAGTACTGGGAACTGAACTCACAACCTCACACTTGCCAGGCAGGCAGTGTGCCACTGAGCTAAATCCCCAGCCCTACATAACTTCTCTACATTTACAATGCTACTAAGTACCTCTTATTCTTGTGAGAATTTAAAAGACAGTACCTAAAGTACTTTTTCTACAGTGTTTAATTCTCTCCTTGAACCCTAATTGAGAAAGCCTGTCCAAAATATTCAGCTGCTTATTTCTTAAAAAGAAGAATACGCTCTTGGTGCACAGCTATAATGCCAGCACTTGGGAAGCTGAGGCAGGAGGATTGCAGTGAGTTCAAAACCAACCTGAGCTGAGCTACATGAGTTCAAAGGCAGCCTGAGCCAAGCTACATACTGAGTTCAAGGCCAGCCTCAACTACATAGTGAAACCCTGTCTCAAAAAAAAAAAATTATCTTACATTGTTAGTACAGTTATCAGAATCAGGACATAAACTGTACTGTAATCTATAGACACTATTCAAATTTAGCCAGTTATTCCACAAATGTCTTTTATAGTAAAAAGGGAAAAAGTTTTGTGGTCAAACATTTTTCAAATTATATGCTGGGCATGGTAGCACACACCTATAATCCAGCACTCGGGCAGCTAAGGCAGGAGGATTGTTGCGAGTTCAAGGCCAGCCTGGGCTACAAAGTGAGCTCAAGGCCAGCCTGAACTACATAGCAAGACCCTGTCTCAAAAAGAAAAAAAAAAAAAAAAAAAAAATCAAATTAGAGTGTCCTCTTTACTGAGGAACAGATTTTTAGGTTTTGTCTTTTGTTTGTTTTTGAAAAAATCTACACCATTTGGGAGCATTTCCTTTGGTTTGGGTTTGTCTACTATTTTCTCCTGAACCTGCTTTCAAATGGTTATGTGTTTTGGCAAAGTACCCAAAGTGATGTGATGTCCTCTGCATCATATGAAAAGGCACGTGATGTTGCTTTGTCTCAGTGCTGGTGATGTTAACTGTGATCTCTTGGTTACTATTTTTAGTCCTTGTAGTCCTTAAATATCTAGTGAAAATATGTGTCTTGATAGTCACAAAACTTTTTTAGCTAGTTTTTGCCTGATTTTTTTTAATTGGGCCTAATTTTAAATTTTTTTAAATTTCATCTTTTTTCACCTTTAATTGATTGTTGGCTTTTCTAATGTAAGAAAACATTTTCTCTCCTTTTACTTGTTCTCTAATGAGTACAGAATCATGGATTCTTATCATGTTAATATATTTTACTACTAGTACTTATTTTGATCTCCTTATTCAAGATTTATACAGTGGCAACTCCATCCTAATTCCAGGATCACTTTAGCATAGTACTGTCATCAGCTTTGAGCTGTTTTTTACTTTCTACACAACAGGACATTGTAGGCACATCTTGTAGTTTTTAAACCCTATAATCAGCCTTTCCTCTGAGGAGTTCCAATTCCTTTCCGTGGATAATGGTCTTTACCCAAAATCTGAGTGTCTGTTACACTTATTAGTACACAGTTTCATTTCTGTGACTTCTCAGCAGATGTTATTAGGAAAACATACAAGCATGCATACACACACACTTCTATTTTCTCTCTATATATGCTTTAAATCCTGACCTCATTCTTATGTATTCATTTCCAGTTAAACAGTACAGAATCATTCTAACCTTTTTCTTCTCTATATTTGTGATTACCTGGCAGTGGGAAATCTAGGTGTCATTATCCATAGCACATGTACTTACTTGTTCAATTCTAGGGTACATCCTCACTGCCATAGGGGGAAAATGGTGGTTATGGTGACACGTCTATAATCCTAGGTAGGAGTGAGTTCAAGGTACCTGGGAAGCAGAAGCAGGAAGATTGCAAGTACAAGGCAGTATCTTGGTCTGTTCCCAATAGTAGAGGGGGAAAAAAAGTCAAAAACCTGTTCAGAGTTTAATCATTATTCTTTTTATCATTTAGTTTAGTGTAGTCCCATTACTGTGTTAAAGAGTTTTGTTGTGCTTTTCCTCTTGTGAGTGGTTGTGTTACACAGTTAAAACATAAACTTGGTTTCATTTGGCCTGCATTTTATAGTTTTTGCTTCCATTTTGTGTGTATTTAGTTTATTCATGTATTAAATATGTAAAATGTAATATAGTTCTAAAAGTTAAATTTGTGTATGTATAAAAATGTTCTTTAAAAATGTTTTTAAAGAAGTGGAACTTTTTCTTCCTTTACTTGTTTACATCAATTTCATTTTCTTGTCTTTTGATCCCATTTTCACCTGCTTTGTAATGGGAATCAGACAATTAGCTTATCTTTCCTTAATATCTTTTTGGCCAAATGGATAGTCATATCATTTTTAATTTCTGCTTTCTTATACAAAATACAGCCTTTTTTTTTTTTTTACAGTTTATTCTGGAAATCACTCTACATTAATTCATAAAGATCTTCCTTATTCTCTTTGTTTTGTTTTGCTTTTTGAGACAGGGTCTTGATATGTAGTTCAAACTGGCCTTGAACTCACCATGTACCTAGCCTGGCCTCAAACTCAGAGCTATCCTCCTGCCTCAGCTTCCAGAGTGCTGGGATTACAGGCATGAGCCATCACACCTTGCTCTCTTCATTCTCTTTTATAGTGTGGATATGCTATTCCTTACTCAGCCACTTTCTGTGGGGAGGGTATTGAGACTAATTCTTCCTATATAGTGCAGGCTGGCCTTGAACTCATCTATGTAGCCCAGGCAGGCCTCCAACTCAAGGGGGTGATCTTCTGCCTCAGCCTTCCAAGTGCTGGGATTATAGGCATGTGCCACCACACCTGGTTCAGTCACTTTCTTAACATAAGGATATTTAAGTTATTTTAAATATTTTCCAATTAGAAATACTGCTACAGTGAATAACTTTATGCATGTATATTTTCATAGTGCTAGAGGAGTATGTTCAGAGTCACTTTCTAGAAATAAGACTACTGAGTCAAGGGTAAGTGTATACCTTGCTGGGTTTTGTAGTATTGTGTTCCCATCCAGAGGTCATACCAGTTTGCATTCCTTCCAGCAACATGAGTACTATATATTTATTTCCTTATAATCTTGGTCTTTTTTTTTTGTTTTTTTGGTTTTTTTTTGTACTGGGAATGAAACTCAGGACCTTGCTCTTGCCAGTCAGGTGCTGTGCTGCTGAGCTGTCTCCCTGACCCCTTCCCTATAATCTTGACAGCAAAATGTATTGTCACCTTTTAATGTATGCCAATTTGGTAAAAAAAAAAAAAAAAAAAAAAAAAAAAAAAGTTATTTCATGTGCTTCTTTTGATGATTTCATTTTTTAAATAGACTTTATTGTTAGAACACTTATAGATTCACAGAAAAATTAAGCAGAGAATACAGAAAGTTATGATATGTCCCATTGCCTTCCAGCACACAAATAGCAATGTCCTCTACTTTTAGCACTACAAAAGTGGTACATGTGTTACAATCAGTGAATCTCTGTTGACACATCATTATCACTCAGACTCCATAGTTACATTAAGGTTTACTTTTTTATGTTGCATATCTTGCAGATTTTGACAAATGCATAAAGATACATATCTGCCATTTATACATCCTAGATGTTTTCTGTGCTCTACTTACTTGTCCTTGCTACTCTTGGCAGCCATTGAACGCATTCACTGATTACCATTCTGTTTTTTCCAGAATGTCATATAGTAGTTTTAGAGTTGTATAGTTGGAGTTACATAGTGCTATATATAGTTTTTCCAGATTGCCTTCTTTCACTCAGGAATTTCCACTTAAGGTTTTCCCATGTCTTTTCATGGACTAAGTAGCTCCTTTCCTTTTTTTGGCACTCAACAGTATTGTCTTGTATAGATGTACACTCTACTTTTCCATCACCCACTGAAGGACATCTTGGTTGCTTCTGCGTTTAGCACTTAAGACTAAAGTTGCTATAAACATTTGTGTGCAGCTTTGTGTGAATACAAACATACATGTGGGCATTAATTTTTAAGTCATTTGAAATAAATACATGTTGTATGGTAAAAGTATGTTTAGTTTTTGAAGAAACTGCCAAACGATCTTCCAAAGTTTGTACCATTCTTGCAGTCCTGTCAGCACTGAATGAGAACTGTTTTACCTGCGTTGGGTCTTGCCGGTATTGTGACAAACATGTACTGTTATCTCATTTTAATTTAAAATTCCCTAATAACATGATATTGAGCACATTTTCATATGCTTACAAGTCATCTTTAATGTTATTTGATGAAGTGTCTCGCATGTCTATTGCCCTTTTTTTAATCCAATTTGGTTTTTTATTCATTTTTAAGAGTTTGTATATATGAAGTATATTTGTAATATTTCATGTATTTGAACAGCCTTTTATCAGATATGTTTTCTGCAGATGTTTTCTTCCAGACGGTGGCTTACCTTTCCATTTTCTTAATGTCTTTTGCAGAGCAGAAATGTTTAATTTTAATGAAGCCCAGATTAATAATTTTCTTCTGTGGATTGGGCCTTTCGTGTTGTAGCTAAAAAGTCTTTGCCTTACTCAGTCATTAAGAGTTTCTCCAATAGGACAGGAATTTTACAATTTTTTTGTTTTACATTTAGCTTTATAATGTTTTTAAAGTTTATTTAAGAAGTTAATTTTGTTGCCAGCAAAGGATTACTATCAAGAGCATATAAAGAACTAAAAAAAAAAAATCAGACCTCCCAAATTTAAAGACCCAGTCCAAAAATGGGCATCTGAGATGAATACACACTTCTCAGACAAAGGAATATAAACAGCAAATAAATATATGAAAAAATGTTGAACATCACTGGTAATTTGAGAGATGCAGATTAAAACAACACTGAGATTCCATCTCACCCCAGAAAGAGTGGCTATCATCAAGAAATCAACCAATAACAAATGTTGGCAGGGCTGTGAGGAAAAACCCTTCTCCACTGTTGGTGGGAGTAGAGTGCTGCAACCACTGTGGAAATCAATGTGAAGATCCCTCAAAAAACTAGCCTTGGAAGTCTCATTTGACCTAGCTATTGCCCTACTGGGTATCTTCCCAGAAGAATTAAAAAAAAATCATACCACAGCAACATAATGTGCACCCGTGTTTATAACAGCACAATTTGTAATAGCTAAATCTCAAAACATCTCAAATGCCCATCACCTGAGGAATGAATAAAAAAGACGTGGTTTTTTTATACAGTGGAGTACTGCTCAGCCATAAAGGATAAACTGGAGACTTTCATAGGTAAATGGATCCAACTGGAGACCATACTCATAAGTGAAATAAACCAGACGCACATGTGTAAACATCATATTGTCTCCCTAGTGT